ACTCAGGGGAAAAAGCAAAGTTCTAACAAAGTTCGCCATCACTAACCCACTGGTTGCAGCCACTATAGGCTCCTTCCTAATCCCCTAGCAAGCCAAGCTGTCTCCAACCATAGGCTCTTTTTCCTCTGCATGGAATTCCATTTTCCAAAGTTTAAATATAGCCTTTTTTTCTCATTCTTTTAAGGTATCTGAGGTCTCTGCCCCATCACCCTATATAAAACAGCACCCCATTTCTGTCTCCTTTGCCCATGTTATTTTTCTTCACAGCACTTCCTGATATACATGTTATATTTGTCAATATTCACATGCAGGCAGTGGTTATCCTGATGGACTTAAAGAGTGTCAATAATGTGAAGGTGAGAAGAGAAAAGAAGATTGTCAATAAGGCAGAGGAGGGGCAGAACAGCATGTTGTCACAGAACCTGGAAAAATAGGATATAGAAATGGAAAACGAGACCGCTAAATTTGACAGTGAAGAGTTTTTCAGTGTCTAAGAAGACCAATTGAAAAAAAGTGAGGTGAAAGCCAGACCACAGGATGTAGGATGTTAAAGTACAAGTACACTGGTCCTTTTAGCAGTAAACTATTTAATTGAGTTTGTTTGCACTGTCTACAGTATGAGAATACAAAATGCCAGTGAAAATAGGAAACAAGAGCAAGCAAACAGGTTTCTAACTAATAAAATTCATAAGAGTTATTTATGGAACTTACACCAAGGTGAATCTTTCAGCAGGTCAACTACCAAATAAAACAAGGTTATTGAAATAGTGTCTTAACTGTGGAAGATATTACAATTCTAAGTAATGTTTTCTAGTTTTTATTCAACCACCAATTCTCTGTAAATGTTGGGTAAATCACTTAAAATCTAGTCCTCTGCATTTAAAATAACAATGAGTCTACATTTCAATAGAAACCTAAAGTACATTCTCCTTTTCCAAGAAAGATGTCAACCTATATCATTCCTACCCAGTTTCCATTATATATTTTTACTTCCAATGTAACTATAAATCTTTTTGTACTAATACATTTTCTCCTTTAAAAAATCTATAATGAAATTTTCTTAGTAACTATTTCCCAACCTTTATATTTTGGAAGAAAATCTGTATTTGTAACAAGTACAGGGAAAACCTCTGTTGTCAAAAACTGGCAATGCTTACAACAGAGAAAAAGGCAATTCTCTGATTTAATTCTAGCAAATGTTATTTTAGCATGAAATATTTTCCCCTTTCATTTCTTCCTTTATGCTTCATCATTGCTGAATTTTAAAAATATTAACAATGTGATGATGAAAAAAACCTAGGGATGAAAGCGTTTAGAGATATTGATAATAATAGCTGACATTTCAAAGCACCCTGTGATTTACACAGCTCTTTAACACAGATTGCCTCATTTAATTATCACATCACTCCCTAGGAGTTAATAATATTATGCATAATTATTCCCAGCTTAACAATAAGAAAACTGGGAGTAACTCAGTAAACCGAGTTAATAAGTGGCAGAATACTGGAAGCCAGGTATTTGAACTTTAAGTTCAGTACTCCTTCCATGAAAACTCTCCTTCAGATAAACATTGATTTTATGGCTCTATAATTTCTCTAATTTTTCTAGACATTAAGTGCTACCAGTATAATTAAGAATAACATATATCTATAACCTGACAATTTTTGCAAATTAAATATTATCAGAAAAGTATTCTTCATCTACAATTGTCTTGCTTTAAGAAATAGCCAAATCCTAAAAAGATAAACATTAGGTCAAATTCCATAAAGGAGATTTCATGTTTATCACTAATTGCTATTAGAAAAATAAACTCACAAGTCAAACTGAAAAACCTATGTGATGAAATATTACAATTTGAGGCAAGCTTGTGGCACAAAAGAGGTAGTTTGGAGAACTTTCTACAAAACTTAATTGCAGCTCTATTCACAATAGCTAAGATAAGGAATCAACTTAAGTGTCCATCCATGGTTGAATGTGTAAAGAAAATGTGGGCTGGGCGCGGTGGCTCACGCCTGTAATCCCAGCACTTTGGGAGGCCAAGGCAAAAGGATTGCTTGAGACCAGGGATTCAAGACCAGCCTGGGCAACACAGTGAGACCTCGTCTGTACAAAAAAGAAAAAAGAAGAAAAGAAAATGTGGTATATACACACCGTGAAATACTATACAGCCATAAAAAAGAATGAGCTCCTGTCATTTGTAGGAACATGTATGGAATTGGAGATCATTATGTTAACTGAAATAAGCTGCGGGGAGTTAGCTACGCTCCCAGCAAAAAATAGGGTCCCTTAGGTAGGGGTCGTCACAAAGGATAAGAAAATAATAGAAAACAGAAAATAAAAGAAATAAAAGAATACACAGAGACGAAGGTATAGTTTTACAGATTCATAAAGATAAAAGACAAAAGCGGGGGTACTCAAGGGTCCTTACAATATCCCTTTCAATCGTAAGGCCACGAGTGAAGTTTTACATGGGAATTTATAGGTATAGTGATCGGTTGCCAGAGGTAACAGATTTACATAATAACAGGTAGTTCGTCTTAGGTTAAAAGTATTTCAAAAGGCTTCTTTATCCCTTAAGTAACTCTATCTATGTGAATAAATGATTACAAAATTTTTCAAAGACAAACTTCTAAGTTCTAAGGTAAATTTATCACTTAACGAAAGGGTTAAACAGAGATAGAGTGGCTCCATATTTTTTTATCAAGTTATTGTGTACTGAGACAGATAGTCAGGAGCTTAAGCAGGAACTGTCCCTTGGGCTAATTGCATTTAGCCACAGATGTCTGTCTGTTGGGCGGGCATTCTTTGCTCAGCTCTCATCCTGTGGCTCCTAGCAGACCTGCTTTGTCTTTCAAAGCAAGCAAGAACCACAGGTCTGAGATTGCAGCGTCACCTTGGAAAGCAGTGCCACTGACCTTTGAGATGCCCTCCTGAGGTGAAGCAGTTTCTGATATGCAAACTAACACGTTCACATATTCCTTCAGGGCAAAGCCCTGCAAAACTCCTGAGACCATTTCTGTCTCTAATATAGTTATATTAATTTATGGAGCAACAATAAGCCAACCACAGAAAGACAAAAAGCACATGTTCTCACTCATATGTGGGAGCTAAAAAATTTTATCTCATGGATGTAGAAAATAGAATAATAGGTATCAGAGACTGGGAAGGTTGGATGCGTAGAAATGGGAGGATGTAAAGAGGTAGGTTAATGTGTACTAACATACCATTATATAGAAGCAATAAGATCTAATGGTTGATAGCAGACTATATAACCACAGTGTGACAATATTTAGCAACAACATGTTACATATTTCAAAGTAACAAGAAGAAAGGACTTGAAGTGATACACAAGAAAGGGATAAATGTTTGAGGTGATGAATATCTTAAATACACTGATTTGATCATTACACATTATATGTATGTACTGAAATATCACATACACTATAGTATGTGTAATTATTATGTATCAATAGGAAGAAGTATTGACAAAACAAAACTAAACCTCATTTTTCATCTTCTAAGAATGTTATCAGTAGAATTAGGCTACAGGGATGCACTTTACTGAAAGGTGCTGTGAAAGCATACCATGCTTAATATCTACTCAACAAAATAAATATTAAGCATCTACTACGGGTCAAGAAGCTTCCCTTTACATTTTCCATATCAGGTAAATTAAAGTAAATAAATATTTTCCTTTTCTACTTTGTTTGATTTTAAATTATATTGAATGAGATAAATTTGAAAAATAACCATAAACTGTTGAAATTAAAACTATAATCTCGTATTTTAGTAAGTACAGACAAGAAACATTTCATTTGAATGATAACCTATTTTAATCATGGCTTCTTTTAACATTATATTAATAATTTGCATGAGTAATATTTTATTTAATTTTTACTGTTATTAAATATAATATTTAAAAACAACCACTAATCAACAATGATTATTTAAAGCTACTGGGGCAAAATTCATGGCATGAAGAAGCTGTAAATATTCAAAAGAAAATTAGCAAACTCAAGCAATAATTCAAAGGAGATCAGGAACTGAAACAATATTCCAGGCAGCACTGTGAGAAATTTGCTGTGTCAAATTCCCAGTGCTTCCATTAGCTGTCTACACAAAATCACAGTGAGCATCAGGCAAACATGCAAACCACTTCTGAGAAATGGAACCAAGAATAGAGAGAACACTGGTTCTAGTAACATATCATTCTTGTAGATCATCATACACATCTATGCAAAATGTAAAATTCTAAATAGTACACATATAGATGATACAAAATTTGTATACCTTGCAAAAACATTTCTATGAGTGCATATATACCTGAATAAATGATCATAAGAATTATCTTTTACTTACTGCTATCTTTTAAAAGTAGGAGCTTATTTTAAATGTTTCCTCCACCGCATTAAACTTTTTTTAAGTGTTTCTTTACAATAAAGTTTTTCTCAAAGATCTTAAAAAATATTACGTTCTTTATGGTAGTTCCATTAATCTAATTTTTGAGAAAGACCCTCCTTAAATATGTTTAATAAAAATGAATGAATAAAGCATGAACTCTCCTCCACATCTAAGCATTGACATTTCCATATAACATTGTCTCAGATGAGTAGATTCACCCTAAGTCAAAACATTCATATATCTCCTTGTCAGAATAACACTGGCTGTTCCCCTAAAATTGTTCACCAGGAACTATATGTCTTCCATTAATTTTACTAAGAAAGGAAAGTTTAGAAAGATTTGGCTCCTAACTGTTAAGTTTCTCCTCTGTGTATAAATTCGTGTCAGGAAATTACAAAACAAGAGTTTCCTTTTAAGAATATTTTAAAAATTAGAATAAAAT